GGGAGAACTGTCAGATGGTTTGGAAGTTGAAGCATGCCCCAGAAGACAAGTGATTTACTTTAAAATATCCATTAAGTAGTTAATCAGTTATGTAATTTCAGTGTATGTTTAGGGTATTCCAGCTACTTCTCACAGTTACTTTGTCATATAAGCTGAGAACATGCCAACACTTAGGAATGCTAGATCTTCATAAGACAGTGTGCTGCTTTACCAACTCAATTAATAAACAAAAACACAACAAAACAACAACAACAAAAAAAAAAAAAAAAAAAAACACAAAAAAAACACAGAGAAAAAAAAACAAACCCAAAGAAAAAACCCTACCACCGGTATCGAGCCCATTCAGACCAGTTTGCACTAGCATTAGGCCCCAGTGTAAGCACACTGTGGCCTGGCCAACTTCATCCCTGGTATAAATCCATCAACCTCATTCAGAAGAATCATTCTGTGCATTCAGTCATACCACGATAGTGACCCTGCAGGGTCAGGCAGGATGGAAGTCCCATTGTGCTCTTTACTGCACAAACACAATGAGGTTCAGCCCTTTAGAGTACTGCCTCTGTCAGACATTTGTGCCTGTTGACAATGTGTTCTGTAGGATATTTGTTTTCAGATTCATAGCACTGTACATGTACACAAAAGTTTACCAAACAGGGCATGCTTACAATGCCAGATAAGCATGGCATCAGACACACCTTTCTTTAAGGCTGAAAACAAACATGTGTTTCTTTTTCCTCAAAGCAAAGAGCAAAGACATTTTCAAGCTGAAGAGAGCTAATTTTGTAATATGCACAACAATGACATTCCCCTGGAAATAAAACATTTATCTTCCTTTTACAGTATTGTTACTTGCATACATCAGGAATACTGAAAGATCCAGGTGAACTTATGATCTTTTTGAGGATAAAATCAAAAGTTTTAGAACCTTAAACCTCAGGAATAAGATCATGTGTGGTCTGCAGGAAATCTGTCCTGTGTTTCTGTTTATTGATAAAGTAAATGAAGAAGTAGCTCATCTCAAGACACCTTCAGCAGAAGTGTGGGGGGCAGCTGCAAGCATGAAGACAGGAGAAACATCAGCACTCCTCTTTATCACAAATACAAACTGAGCAGTAAACATCACTCTAGAAATAACACTCCATTCCAACTGTGTTGGCTTCTGATATGGTGGATGGTGTGTCCATGTCCTTCTTTTTGCCTATAACAGACACTGAGTTTGGATTTAACACTCCAGCCAAGAAACACAGTATCTGGCAGGATACACATGTACAGACATAGCAAGGCATGTAGCTGAAATGAGAGCTAATCAGTACCTATACACAACTAGCTATGCTCATAAAAGCAAAGCTCACTCTAAAACATACACATGCACAGAGGCACAGAAAATGCAGTCGTGAAGTTCAACGCTCATTGCAGTGCTTGCAGGAATCTATGTCCTCTGCATGCATCTGGCGAGTTGGCGGTGGGAACATGACCTGCAAGCCTGCAGCAAGCGAGCATCCACAGCGCAAGGGTGCACAAAGAGCCTGAACAACTCTGTACTCTTTTAAATGCTGAGCCAGCAACAAGAAACTGATCTGTGGGGTATCAGTCCCACATACCAGTGGCAGACCAGGTCCATGCTCTAACATGGAAGCAGAACATGCTGAAGGAAGCTTTTTCTGGGTAGTTTGAAAGTTTTTTAATAGATCCTTCCTGTAAGTATACAGCTTATTACCACAGGCCCCATATGGCTCAGTAAATACCAAGGGTACAAGCCATGCCTTGGCTACTCAATCAGTGAGAGAAAGGTGAGAACCATCTACAGCAAGGAAGAACAAATGATCAAGAGCTGCCCTAAAAGCAACTTTCCTGCTGACGAAGTCTCATGAGAACAAGACTGGTGCCGCCCATGCACTGTGCGAGGCTACTGAACCCAGCTGTATGTCAGCAGAACAAGGTTTTATTCCAGGCTTTTTGAAGCACCACCATGACTGACACAAATGCTCCCACTGGAAGAAAGCCAACTATTAACCAGGATTCCTTAGAATCTGGAGGTAATTTCAGCAGAACAAGAAATACAGAAGTTTGACCAAGACCCGAACACTCCTCCAGGATAAAAAAAAAAAAATCTTATTACTTCATAGAAGTCCATTAAAACATTTCATCTAGCCCTTCTAATCCCTTTTAACAGATTTGCTTTATCCCAGACAGGGGAGCTAATCCTTTCCCACCTGTCTTTATGATATGGAACTATAAATGAGAGCAAGTACTTTTCAGTAGTTAAGCATTGCAGAACACGCTACCATCCACACCAGCATTACTGTAATGAAGCTGTCCTTAGTGAACCCCCTAGTAGGGAATGTGGAAACTTATTTACCATCTGTTTCCAAAACACATTTGTTGCCAAAAGTTTCAAGACTATAAGCAAACCAAGACTTGAATTTCAGCTTGCTGGAGGGACTTCCCTTTTTCCTTCATCTTAGACCTTAAGCCACACATTGCGGGACTATGCTGTGTACAAGCAGATGGCAGGCAAATCCATCACTGACCTGTACAATTGGGTTAGTAGGTCAGCTGAACTTGCCACCTAATTACACAACTGTTTTATACAGAGTTCTCTGTTCTTCAAGGCAGGATCCCAAAGCTATCTGAAAACAATTGAGAAATGATTCTACGACCTACATCATAATGATAGTATGGTGCTCTCCTGACAAGCAGAAAGCAACCCAGACAGCCCAATTTAAGGTTGAAGAACTGAAATCTGCACTTCAAGTCTCCTCATCACCAGAAATCTCATTAGCCTTTAGCAAACCCCATTACAACAAAACACAGGATCTCTAGCTGGTCATTCCAGTTGCTATCCTGCAGAAAGAACAGATTGTAAGGACTGATCACTTAAGGCATATTTAAAGTAACTTTTGTCCCCTCAGTCTTACTGGAGGCTTACTTCATGCAGCTGTCAGCATGCTCAATTTTTTTCTGCTAAAAGGATACGACTTTCTCTCATGCAATCCTGTGTGGTCTACACCACAAAAATCTGTCTGCCCAGGAGAAGTCTCAAGTCATTTCCATAAGGCAATGTTCCAGAGGACCTGCAAGTCAACTCAAATACCTCTACATGTGCATTAAGTACAAACAACAGAGCACCTAACCCAAGGAAAAAAAAAAACCCAACCCAGCCCAAACACTAGTATTTGTATTGCTTTAACACTATCTTCTGCAGGTAACACCTGTCAACTAGAATACCATTTAAGATACAAGGAGCTGTCATCTCATTGTTCAGTCAATTTTTCCTCCTGAGGAACAGCAGTCTGAAGTTATTCCCGAAGTTTAGTTAGTAAAGGGAGCATTCGTTAGTGTGACTAACTAGAGTGTAGGTTGTTGGTGATTTTTTTTTTTAACAAAAACTGAAACAGTGCTATGACATAGCTCATGATAGAAGATAATAAAAGACAGTATGTTTGAGTTCCTTCAGGCTTTCATCTCTTCTGCTAGGAACCAAACCAAAGCCCACATAAGTCACTTGGGTGAAACAAAAAAAAGAGAGACAAGAGGTGTGCAATACAAAACTGTTCTTGAAGAGGAATACCTAACACCCTTTAAAGCAAACTTAATCAACACACAGCTGGATTGTACCCAGCTATGGAGAGGCAGGTGCCTCAGTATTTTTGAGTGTCTGTATACAGTCTTAAAAATGGTCATATATGACCATTTGGATTTAACTGTCATCCAAGGGCTGTTTGCAGCTGCCACTGTTAGAGAAACACTGGTGATAGCAAAGCAGCGCAAAGCAAGTCGCCTGCTCCTCAGAAACATTGCTGTCTTAGGTTTGTTTCATTTCCTGAAGAGTACATCTTGGAAAGCAAACTTTGTATATGCACACTGCCACCCTGTAACCCTCCCAGCCCATCAACTTTGTCTCTCAGAGGCCAGGAGAGCAGCATCACTAACTGTATATACTGTTTCCTAGATGTAACCAGGTGATGATTTCACTTTGTACCTCACAGAAGTTATCTAGGCCATTTCATAAGGCAAACACCTTTTCAAGCAGCCCATTATAAGGCACTGGATCAGCTTTGACAGAATAACTACAAAAGCTGAGCTCAATCAAGTCATCAGTATGGTAGGAGTTAGAACAGCTTGAACAAGGCAATTTGAAGCAGCAGGACCTCAAAACGCAACATTTGGCAAGTTATTACTGGTTTAGAGTTTAGTTTCTCTAGAACCACTTCGTCTGAAACTACATCCATTTAATAAACTTTTTACTATAGAAGAAATGTGGTGTTAGCCTTGACCCACATGAACAGAAGAATAGAGGTTTCCCATTCACTCCCAATGAAAAGCTTTTTTGTCGAGTATGTGTCAAATGGCCACAAGTAGCTGTGAAACTCAGGTCACCCTTAAGAGCTTTTAATTTAAAGACAGAAAATAAAGACAGTTGACATTGAAAAAACGTGGGAAAAGAACCAAACAAGCCATAGACAGGGTCAACACAAACACCATCCCCCAAAATTTCAACACTAGCAAACTGCAGGAACACAACCATTATCTTTTTATCCTGCCTCTCGCCTTTTTAATTAGGTTTGACCTTGGTAGATTCATTACTTCAGCTGTTGTAAAATTTAACCAGCCAATTTCCTCTATAGAGGAAAATTTAAAATAGGTTTACAGGTTAATTTAGTGTTCTTTAGGAAACGAAAAACCTGAAGTTATGGTTTCCTCCTCCACAACTGTATTTCTGAATGCTTTGGTAAATAAATAGGGCCTAGACTTCTTAGCACTGTTAAACACAAGGTATACATTCAACAGTATTAAATATTCCAGAGCAAAAAATTTACTTGATATATAGGAAAAAAAAACAACCTTAAAATCAGGTAAACTAAACTAGAGCACAGACTAGTGGTTTTGAAGTATCAACAGAAGTTATTTGCCACCTGACAGACCCACAGGGAGGAGAAACCCCAGCAACACAGGCACATAGCTCACAACCTGTCATTGTAACAAAAGAATAAGAGCCATTTTCATTAATTAATATATTTTCTGCATTATAGTTAACATATGTACTTTCTTCGTGTCATTCTTATTTCGTTAGGTATTGATACTTTGTTATATTCAGACATGAGTACATTTTCAAAGTCTTTTGCAATAAATATCATAAAATAATAGAGATTCACATAATAAATATTCTTTACAATAAAAAAGTTTTAACAGACTTTTGTCTTAAAAATAGTTGGGATTCAACTTTGTTTTATACATAAAATATACAAAAAAGGACCACAATTTGTGGCTAAGGCAATAAAACAGGGACAGAATAAATTTATAAAGTACAGAGCAGAGCTAAATTCACCAAAACGAAGGATGACAAGAAACAAGAAGGATTCAAGAACAGTTAGGTGACTCTAGGGCACCTGAAGGCTGTTTGGATACATGAACACCACCAACTTTAATATCAACTGATACTGACAGACTATAAAAACAAGAGCAGGAGGGTGGAGTGAGCAATATCCTTCAAAGAGCTGACAGCAAAAGAAATGAGTATGCTGCAGCTGTAATGTCTCCAATGTGAAGATCTACACAGTGTAGCAAAAAGTGAAGTTACATTGAAAAAGTATTAAAAAAAAAAGAAGGCAGGGTAATTCTCAGAACCAAGAATGTTCTTGAAAGTTGAGACAAGAGAGGAGGGAAGGCAAAAAAAAAAAAACCAAACCAAAAAAGATGCTGCTTATAGAAGAGTCAGGCCTTTCACTTGGAAAAGCCTTTATTTTACAACCTTCTCCAGATAGGACACACACAAAAAAAAAATTATTTCACAATCCAGCTCACTCATGAAAGTTGTTCTTCCTTGGTACCCAGGGGGTTAAGTTAAAAACAACAGAATTGCTGAGAATGAAAAACATCTTTGGGAAGATATTCACAGAGCAAAAAACTTCAAGAGCCCAGTGAGCCCTCACTATCTCTTTCAGGAGTGGTTCAGTTACAAACTCAAAAGACCCTGCCAAAGCAAGCAGCAGATGCAGATTCAAGGTCCACACTTACCAAGGAACAGCAATGACTATGTAAAATGCTCGACACCCAGCCAACAGGAAGAGGAGAGCAAAGACGCAAAGGGAAGAACTTGTGTAATTGAAGTTGGGGAGACAGAAAGGAAGCAAAAGAACAGCCTCCCCCAAAATGAGAGCAGGAAGAGAAGGAGAGAGGAAAAAAAAAAAAAAAAAAGAAATCGGCTATAACCTGAAAAACTGAAGTTGAAGGAAGTAAACCTCCCTCCAAAAATCATGAGGGCTTGCCCTGACCCCGGGAAGGGCAGCTCTCCAGTTTACAATAGACCGTGTTGGAGTTCTTGCATCGGCACCCTGGACGATTGATGCGGTCGTAACACCCCCGACAGAGTTTTAGGCATCCTTTTGCAGGAGGGTAGCAGAGCAAACAAGGCAGAAGCAGGGACATCACTCCCATGCACAGGTACCTAGAACAGCAGTGTGACTGGGAGCAAGAGCAGGGATTATCCGCGCAAGAGTCCCCTTCATCGTCATTAGAACAGTGGTAGAAGATCCCTTTGACCAAACACATGCAGGTGCTGTACTCCACCATGCTCTCTGCAGAGCACAAGCACTGTCGGTTGCAGGCCAAGCAAGAAGGGAGGGCCCTCGGGGCTGTGCACTCGCCACACTTGCACTTCCCACACTGTTCACAGATAAACTTGTGCTGCGTCAAGTCCTCTTTCAGAGGACCCTTCAGATCATCTACAACTAGAGATGACTGCTTGGGCTGCGTCCGGATTGTCCGATCGGATCTGTGGCCTGACCCCGGCCTGGATGGAGGTGACCGTCCCAGCAGCCCTTGCTCTGAGGAGGCACTGCTGTTGCTCCCAGAGCTGGCTGCACTCCCTGTGCTGGTTGATCTGCTCAAGATGGGAGCCCTCGTGTTACTCTGATGCGCCACATGCCCCACGTGGCTGGGTCTGTGTTCATAATTATTATTCACATTAATCGGTATAATTTCATGAGTCCTTTCATGCTTCTCTTGCCTTGGTGCTGTTCGCGGACCAGACTTTTTCACCACAGATGGACCTTCGGTGTATTCATTGCTGCCCCTGATTGCCTTGATCTGGTCCAGTGACAAGATGGTTGCTGGCTGGCTCTCTCTATCATAATCCAACCGCTGCCGGCTATCCAAGGAGGGCTGCTGAATCACCACTAGTGAGCCACCGCTGCCATGTTGACTTTGGGGCTCCATCTGTAGTGATTGCTACTTCTGGCATTCAGTGGGAACTTGGCATGCATCTGAAACCCTAAAATAATAATAGCAAGACAGAAGGTATAAATAAACATTGTATGTGTACATGTATACACAAATACACTAGAACAAGGGCAAAAGAAGAATAAAGAACAGGATACTTCTTGAAAACAGAAATGATATGGCAAACCACAAATTACGCTAGCCACCTGGTACTGATCTCTTTCAGCAGGGGATTACAACAGTGCTGAGGACCTGGCCAAAATCCAATAATGGGGAGAGTCTGAGTATGGCATCATAGGTGTGGAATGCAAGGAGACCCCGTGCCATTAAAAAAATAAAAAATTTCGAGTACTAACCTGTACACTTACTTGGCAAGCCATGCAAAGTGCTTCTCACTTGCTACTGAACTCAACGCTGAAACAAGGACAGTCTGTCTAACCAGCAATAACAATGCTGAGAACACCCCCCAAACTGAGCTGGAAAAGGGCAGGAACATAGTCTGGGTTGTGTTCTGCATGGTACAATGAAGAAAGAACCTGCACAATCCTCACTCTTCTGTCTGAATCTGCAGCAACAGCGCTCAACAGATTGGCACTGGGGAAGTCTTCTATTTGAAGTGATGTGTGTGCATTAAAGTCTTGAACGAAGGTCTGTCAAGTGGCCAAGGCATTTTCCACAGGGGAGTAACTTAACATACAAATCTAATATGCTCCTTAAAAAATTAAAGTAAGGGTGTGAACAGCATGTTTTCAAGTATTTTCTGACCACAGGCCACCATGTGAAAGAAAAAGGGTAGAAAAGGCTAAAATGAGTTAGGTGTCACATAAAAAGTACCTCAAGATTCAGAATGTTAACAGCTGGTGACCAAAAAAAACCCAAAACAAAATCAACCAACAACATATAATAAAATAACAAATCAATTTTCCTAAAAAAAAAAAAAAACAGATTAAAAGCTTCTCAAATAAGTACATCTTCTAGACTGACTTTTAAATAAAGATTACATATTTTGATTCCTTTTCAGTCTGCCTAGTTATCAACATGAAGATCAGATCATCGAGAAAACTGCAGTGATAGTTCTGTACCTATATGAAAATTCAGACAAGTCACCTGAATGCCACATTTATAGAGAACTAAGAAATAAAAATAAAAAAAATAAATAATAATAATAAAAAAAAAAAAAAACAAAAAAACCCACACTTTATTGACATTTTGGGAAAAAGTCCCTTTTCTCTTCCTCTGAGATGTCATGCATGTTTACCTGAAAGAGGAGAAATATAAGTGCTATCAAGCACTTCCAAAACTCATCTGGTAATCACGAGAAAGAATCTGCCTTGTTTATCCAAAGCACAGCCAGCACGGAGCTGTTCCCCACTCACGAGAGAAAGAGGCAAAGCGAGAGCAGGAAAGGTTTCTTCTAACAGGTATTCTGCATCTTCATCACCCTGACCACTAATAAATGGTAAGCGACAGCTTCTCCCACGACACAAAGTCTTGGTGCTCACCCAGCAGTCGAAGATTTGATTTTACATTTAATATCGACTCTGTGGGCTTTAGGGTCGCCAGATAAACGGGAATTAAGGAAAACCAAGTGCGCCCGCTTCTGATTCACCCCACAGAACGAGCTGCCTTCTTCACCACCGAGGAATACAAATCCACAACAGACCAAGGGTGAATGAATGTGAAAAGTGAAAGATTTACAGCTGGACCGACCAGGAGCTGGACTTCCCAGCGGATGAAAAATAAATATCCCAAGGAAATGCGAAAGACATTCAGTGCCATCTTTGGGGGAAAAGCGCAACATCAACCCGGCTCGCAGACTGACAAGACCAGCTGCACAGTTCAAAAAACCACCTCCACCCCGAGCAACCAAGTTTAAAAGCCCCCCTTCAACCCCTCCCAGGCCAATAAAATACAATAACACGGCGAACACGCCGAGGAACCTCACGTTTCCGCGCCCAAAGCCGCACAGCCCGCGATGTCTCCGCCGCGGGGCAGCGCTCCCGCCCATTACCTCAGCAACTCTCCCCCCCAGCCCCGGGCTGGCGGCGGCGCGGCGCCCTCTGCGCCCCGAGCGGGGCGAGGCGCGGAGCGGAAGGAAGAGGAGGGGAAAGAAGGGGAGGAAAGAAAGAAAAAAAAAAAGTTATGAATGAAAACAAGGGCTTTTTTTTTTTCGCCTTTTTTTTTTCCTCCCTCCTTTCCCTGCTCCCCCTTTTTGAGAGGAGGGAGGGCAGGACCGAGGTCGGCGCTGCCTCAGGAGGGCGGACTTCTCGGCATTTAAAGCGGCAGCGCCCGGCCGACCGGCCACTGCAGCGCCCGGGATTCCCCGCCACAGCACCTCAGGGGCTGCTCTCCCATCCCACGCCAGGAGCCGCCCGAGGGTGTGTTTGGGGTCGCTTTCACCGTTCTGCTCATTTTCAGCCGCCCGCCCTCAACGTTCAGTCCCACGAGCACAACACTGCAGATCCCCACACGTCCCCTCAGGGCACCGGCTGCCGCGGGATCTGTCACACCCCCCGACCCGCCGCGCCGGGCCGTTTCCGCTCGCCGCAGCCCGGTCCCTGCGCGCTTTCCATTCTCTGAGAAGAGGGTCCGGCGTGGGGCCGCGGTGCCCGTGCCCCGCCAAGCAGGCGCCGCGCCTGTGCGCCCGGCGGCACCTGCTCGCAGGCTGAATGCCCCGGTGCGAAAGTAAAGCGCGACGAGCCCCCGACTTACTTATTTCCAAGGAGTCACTAGTGATGGGAAATCCCCCGTGCGAGGGAGGTAGCTCCGCGGGGCAGGGTAACGATGGGGCCGCGTTCCCGGCTCCTGGCCCTCCCGGCCCTGCCGGGCGGGGGAAGGCGGGCGTGCTGCGCTCCTCGTCTCTGCAAAGCGCTCGCCGACCTTCACGTCCTATTCGGCGAGCGGAGGAAAATCCAACTGTGCTGCTGGCCGCAGTACTCCTGGCTCAGGGGTCAGCATTCAGCGGGCCGCGCTCCCTTGACGCGCTCTCCCGCCGAGCCAAAGACTCCCGAGGGACGCAGCTCTGTCCCTCGGCGGCGAGGGTCCCGGTCTAGAGGCGGTGCGGAACAGATCGAGCCGTTTCCCTGCAAACAGTTTATCTCGCTCTAGCGCCGGACAGCGGGGTCAGGCACTGGTGAAGAAGGTCTCCAAGCAGGCGGACGCGGGGCTCCTGCTCGGGCCGTGGTTTCCCTTCCCCGGCGGGGGTAGTCCCTGACGAGCCCTCCCGGGCCCGGCTTCACTGCACGGTCCTCGTCGCGAGTCCCTTCGGGCAAAGCGCGACCACAACCCCTAGTGCAAGAGATTATTTAACTTTTAGGAGGTAAAACACCCACGAAGAAGCACTTGCTTGCAATACACGCGCTTTCAATGCGCACCCCGGTGAGCTGCAAACGAAAGCAGAGCGCAATGGCTCTGCAAGCTCGCTGCAAACTGCCATGTGCTTGCTGTTGCTGCCGGAGGCTGCCTGACTGACTGACAGGCTTGGAAGCACGGGCAGCGCGTCAAGAAGACCGGGCAGCCCAGAACACAGAAACCCTCGCACGGAGATTTCCGGAGCCTCCTCGCATTTCGCGGGGATCAAGCAAGGCTCCAGCACTCAAACGCGACCCCGCGTTAAGCACGGCAGGCAATCACAGAACTGCAAGTTTTATCATTACCAGCAAAATGCAGCTGAACGCTGCTCGCCCAGGAAGCCAGGTCACCCGCTGCCCCGCACCGAAAGCCAGGCGTGTGGCGCCGAGCGAGGCCAGTCCGCCGCTCGCCCGCACCTCCACACGGCTGCGGCCAGGCAGCGCTCTGCTCTGCCTCGCCTCCCCCCGCGGCCGCCCCATAGCCCTTCGCCCGCCCTCCGGCTGCGGAGCCCCTCGCCGCCCGCCCACACCCCCGGCACCTGAGCGGCGGGGAGGAAAGGCGGCGAGCACCGCCCGGGCTTACCTACGGCCGAGGTGAGCGCCTGCTCCCCGGGGCACATTGGCAGCCCCAGCACAGAGTCCACCCCAGACAGTGGAGGCAGCCGCGTAGTCCCGCGCCCGCTCCGCGCCGTCCCAAAGTGAGTGCGGCCGCGCCCGACCGCCTTTCAGCGCGCAGCCCCCGCCCGCCCCGCGGCCGCGCCCCCGTGATGTCAATGTGTCACTCCGCGGCGCCCCCGAAATCCCGGAGTGGACTTCCCGCCCTCCCGGGAGCCGCTCTCGCATAGGTTACGGCCACGGGCCACTCTCGCCGGACGAGCGGCCCGACCGGCAAGGCGCCGGTGCGTATGTGCGCGGAGAGCGAACCCGTGCCCCGCGGCCGTGGCTCGGCTGGCGGCTCCCGGCCCCGCGGTGGCTTGTCCTGGCGGCCGCGGCTCTTCGGCCCCGGCGCCGCCCCCGGCCGGCAGGGGGAGCGCGGGGGAGCGGGTGCCGCACCCGCCTCATCGGCGTGGGGGAAGGTGGGAGAGGCCGACCCGGGGCCGGCGGGGTCAGTGCAGGTGGCAGAGGTGGGAGCGGGCCCGGTACGGCGGCAGACACGAGGGAGGGCCGGCCGCCTTGCCGCGGGGCTGAGGAACGGCGGCCGGGGAAGGATGCGCTGATACAGGCGTACCTGCTGACCAGAGACTAGGCCGTGGGGCTCGAGTCCGCAGGCTCCGGTATGTGGTTTAGCACCATCGCCCTTCAAGCATGGTCTAGCCAGGTGGCAGAGCTATTCCTTTATAGCCGTAAAAAGTTTCTGCTTCTTTCAGCCTAACAAAGAGCTAGCCGAGGACTTCTGAAAGTGTTTACCCCTTTGATAGGAAACGGCTTTTCTGACCCATTTGCAAGTGGCATCGAGGGACTGCACAATTCACATGGTTGTCCATCTCTGCCACCTTCCCATCCCAAACTCTGGAAGTCCCATCCAAAGGTCATCACTGCATTTCTGCCACAGTGCTGAAGAGACCACAGCGATGCCTTCTGACCCATTACTTTTATGGACAAATATTATCTTTGATGTTTGTTGGGGGTGGTTTGCTTGTTTTTTTA